TGTGGCCAACACTGAATTCTAAATTTTCAACCAAATTTATATCCTTTTGAATATTTTTAGATCTCCTAATATCATTTGCTATTAGTTATAAAAGTATGGTCAAATAAAAGTTTTGTCCTATACATCAAATTTATGTAATTAGCTATTATATCTTTTCTAAAGCTACATGTAGTTTATCAAAATAAGAATGAGTAGCCGAGCATAAGTATGGCTTTTCACAATGATAGTTTCTTGGCTGTACAGAAAAGTCACTTTCACTATGTATATTTTCTCAAATCTGCTGGCCTGCCAAAATCCTTAGGTCATTTAAGTGACAGTCCAACCTCATCAAAACATTGGAAACAGGAGCAATTGGCAAATTATGACACAAACAACTGAGCCTATTCCCACAGATACCCTCCTCAATCCTGATAGGTTGTTTTGGACATTTCAGAAACGATGTATTTGCCACAAATTTTCCATTTTCCTGACTAATAATTTTGTAACCGTGTTTCCAAGTTGCAGAAAATGGTAAGGTCGAAGTATATTACAAAGATTTGCCCGTAGATGGTCAAATGTAAACTTTTTATAAATAAATAAAATTTATTGTTGTATTTCATGTGAACATGTTGGCACATCTCCTGACCTTCTAGTAAATTCATTTATTTGAAAACATATCAGAGCATATCATCTAAAACTTATCAAACTCTTTAGGGATTGATTTCTATAATGTACAAATGAAATCCAGGTATTGTGTTTGCCGGGTTTCTACAGATATCTTCATGGGTCGAATCCGAAGTCTCCCTTCATCGTCAAGTTTTAATCATGATATTCTAGTTCTAGCTTGTTTTCCTTTAAATTAAACTTTCGCAGCGCGAGAAACATGTTAGACAAAGTTTGCAAATTTCGTATATCAGTTGCTTGAGTTGCAAAGGTCATGGACAGTCGGGTTAAAGACACTGGTAATTACATACAGTTACGGCAGAGGTTAATAAATTAAAAAACAGAAAAAATCTCAAAAAGACGCCGTGTGTTTCCAGCCATAGGCTAATCATGAACCGCTAATAGTCAAAAGAGGAGTTAAAAAATAACAGGTTTAAACGAGTTGAAAGTAACTTTTCTTTTTAATTTTCTACGCTTATCAGAGGAGGTTGGAACGTTAAGGAAACAGCGGTGGAGCAAGTAGTCATACCTGGCAACTTCAAGAGAAGATGTGAGAGAAGCCCAAAGGATTCTGGCGTATTGTTTTACTGACTCACTGTTCTCACGTCAAGCTCAATATGATTTAATTTCAACTGAAACTGACATCATCACTACATCTGACAAAGGAAACGTCGGTTCCAAAACATCAGAAACACCAACGAAGGTAATTAGTTGCTTGATAATACCGCTGACTAACATGGGTGTTTGTCAGCTTTGCATTGAAGTTGCGAGAACATCGTCCATTAGTTCTAGACCCCGTCAATTTTCCACCCCCTCAACTCCCCACCCCCCACCTCCTGGACCGGTTCCAAAATCCCCTTGAACAAATTCTTCGAGTGCCAGTAATGAGGAGTTTTGTTAGGGTGAAGGGCTGGAAAATGAACTAAATGGAGCTCCGCTTTAAGGCTTTGCGAAATCTATGTATTATCAGTAATCGTAATTTCATTTCATTTCTATAAGGTAACATGCTGGAGTTTTACGTGAATTAACATTTGTAACGAAATGATTTTTATGCAACTTGGAATGAATAAGCATTTGCCAATGTTTCAACATCATTTTTCCTTTTCTTATTATTTTCCCATTTTGTTTGCGAGTTGGCCAATTTCAAATAACTAAGCATAAGAATGACAAATAATGGACCTAAATGATTTTGAATGATAACGTTTGGGATTTTGAAACACAAGTCGCTGTGACCCATAATCTTTTTTAGTGCTACCCTCACCTGGACAATTGGAAGTCATGATCGAATATCTCATTTTGTTTTCGTTTCTTTTCTATATCTATATCTTATCCTCATGCCAAAACCCGTTAATTATTGACTATAAATGATAACAAAAATACCTAGAAAAAACGTTTTGCATATATATTATTAGTCAGTGCCACACAAGTGGAAAGTGCTTTTCGCGCACTCTGATTGGAAAGTTTGGAAATGAATAGCAAGTTCTATTCACCTCCAGCTCGGTGGATTATTGTTAATTTTTTTTTTTGATATCATAGTCTACACGGGTCCCTTATTCATGCAAGCTAATCGGCGTGAGCAGGATTCATGTCTCAATTGCAAAAGTGTCTTATGTTTCGAAGATTCATATATGTTATGCAAACAACAAAAAAAAACTTTTTTGCACAGCTAATCAATATTAATACAAACGAAAATTTGATCAATCAACATGTCGCCTAATTGAAAGGGGAGGAAATTTTGAGGCAGGTGATCGTTTCTTGTAGCAAAACCTTTGACAAAACATCGTCCGGTTTTTTTTACGATAGACACAAGAGATTTGGTCAGGCTTCAAGCTTGATTTTTTTTTCTGCAGTGTGTAATTTCTAACGTCGTTGGTGAGTGCTAAATAGAGAAAATTTCCTTCGATAAGCAAACGACGCAATGATGTTAATAACTTATCCACATAAGGGAAAGGCTGGACTCCTATCCAGCATGCCTAATTTTCATTTGAGCTCGTATTTTAGATTCACAATCTACTCTACGCCTAAACTGACCAGATCTATTGTTTGAGTGGGTCAGTTTAAGAACTACATCAAACTCGTCGTAATTTTCTTCTTACAGTTGTGTTCAATGGTAATTTCCCACGACTAGTGATTGTTTCGACTGGAAACGGATATGATTACTAGGGATAAAAAATTTGACTTTAGTGGAACGGGTACATTCTACGATAAAATTTCGTTGAACAATGAGACAATACCCCATTCTGCGTTTGGTGAATAATCACTTTTTGCTACTTGAAAAAATATGTCCATCCTCATATTTTCAATTATCTTTTTCTCACCTGACCAATTTGTTAACGTCAATAACAAGCGTTTCCAATTCAAACAATCCGCCAAATAATGAGTTTTAACAGCTTTAAGGCATACTTAGAATTTTCCATGGATTAAGCTTTGGGCGACGATCGTTCATTGATGTTCTTTGCTCTGAGTGCTTTATGATCTTCACCCATCTTGGTTTTTTTTTTAGGTTTGTTACATTAACAGGGATTTACATTCATTTAAGTGTCAAAAAATGATCGTCAATGACATTTACCTCCACTATGCAATTATTTAAGATTTCCATTATCAACGATCATCGATAGAAATTGTTCAGGTGTTAATGTCTCTTGCAAAATTTGGTATCAGAAAAGAACAAACAGAATTTACAATTTTATGCATGCACAATGGCAGCTTTAAAAGTACTTTTAAAGTGGAGGAACTTGACATACGATGTTTTAGGCTCAGAGACTAAAATTCAAAAGGCTTTTATTCATTTGAAGCGATTTTCGTCAAATCAAATTATGTACATAAATTGATAACGTTGCTTCGTCCACACAGCCCATACACTCGCATGGTGGACATTAACTGTATCTCGCACAGGTAACTGAAAGATGCTTGGATACCAGACGCATAATGATGCCACCTTTTTCGCGGTTATTTGTTCGTTTGCAACGTTATGGTGGACAGTAGGTTTTACTGGTAAAAGTTGCTAACTTTTGTTCAGTCAGCCATTCTTTAAAGAGAGAATTTATTCTGGGAAAAATAGCTTGAAGTCAATAACCCAACGAATCAAGCGAAAATAAAAAGTCATTAGGTAAATAAGAGGAAAGAACAAGAGAATGTTACCTCTAAGCTGTATTTTAGAACATTTTAAACTACTCCTCACAAACGGGTGGATTTCGAGGGCTGAAGTTGTAAAACGCAATTGAGCAACGTCCGTGATAAGCATTTTATTTCAAGGGAAACTTAGATCTTAATATTTGGAATTCTTCACTACCTGTAGTCTCCTTTAAATGGTATTTGACTTATGAATCACGGAGGTGAAGATAGAAAGACAATTCTTTATTTAACATTTGCGGAATAAGCAAGAGGCATCGAAGAGTTAAGTCGCAATTTCGCCAAAAATAAATATCTGTTTTAAAAGCGTTGTTCCTTCTGGCGAAAAGCTGTTACTCATTTTTGTCTTAATTGTGCAATGCAGGTGATGATCTTGTAGTTGCTTACAATGGAACCAATATAAGTACCGCAGCGATTCTAAGAAGATTGAATGTTACTGGTGATTTTCGGTTTAGCGCGCTTTGTCCAAACGATGAGCTGTCATGTAGGACTCGATGTACTTATGGAGTGTTAGATGGAATTGCAGAGCGCAAGAATAATTTATCGTGTTATTGCGATAGTCTTGGCCTGGATGTTGGAGACTGTTGCTATGATTTATTATCTTTGTAAGTAAACTTGCTATTCATCATAAAGACGGCAAGCCAAACAGCAACAGTAAAAGGTTTATAATCTCGGAAATGAAATCAAACTGTTTTTCTTTCTCTTAACAAGGCAGAGCTAAGTGGAGTTAGTGCAAAAGTAACGCCGAGAAAACCAAAAAATCAACGCAGACCAAAACGTCAAAGGAAGAAGAGAGCAATTGAGAAATAAGAGAGAAATCCCAAATTCACCGCTGAATAATGGAGCTGTGGATCCTTTCTTACTGCCGTAGACACATTTATGGGGCAATTTATGGAAACGGTGATAGCCGAAAGCACCGTAAATTCAAATTTAAAAATCGCGTACTTGCAATGATGTGACTGATCTCGGCACACGAGCCTACAAAAGAAAAGGTAATTCATAATTTCATCCCATGTAGTAACATTTCATTGCAAAAGTGCAAGGATGCAAAGCCAATTGGGTTTATGGCTTGCAATAATCACTTCTATTTTTAAAGTAGACTCCTGGAAAAACCATTTTGTGGACACAACATCGATTGATTGATAAATACTTTTTTTTTATTCCCCAGCTGTCCACAAGTGCAAGCCCGTCGAGGCGATGAACATAAGCAATGGCACTGTGTCAATATGAATAGTTCGAGTAACCATGGATACGTAATGAATACAAAATGTCCGCCCGGTAACAGTGAATCTGAAATCCAAAGATTGTGTGAGACAGTAGACAACAAAGACTTTCTGAGTGGTATGCCTGTCGTAGACGACAAATCAGGTTTGGTTTATAGAAACGTGTTTTGCGCCAGATGTAATTCGGTCCAAGGTGTATCCTACTGGCAAATGAATGCAGACTGTGGAAGGATTCCCGCATCGGTTCTTCCCCAAGATAACACGCTGCTATTGGAATTTATCAGAGAAAACTGTACCGTTAGGTACAGACCTACAGGGGGACAGCAAATAAACCTGACACACTGCGTTTTCGCCAACAGCACATGCTGTGCAAGGCAAGTTATTGACAACGAACCAGTTTTAAAAAGCTTGTGTTCATACTACTCTTTCCCAGTTTGTGGTAGCCCACATCATAAAAATCCTCATTGCGCACTATGTAACGGAGAAGACATAACGCAGTTCAATTGTGGATGCCTGAGCTCCGCAACAAGTAAGCCTCCAATACATGCCACAAAAAGGGGATCAGCAATTCCACATTATAATACAATACAATACAATTCTTCTGTAGCGGCAGACCCACCTTATCATTTGCCGATATTGCCTACACAGCCGCAGTCCAGGCCCCCAGGAACAATACCTCTAACAACTCATTTTACGAACCATGGATTCACGACGGAGCTCACAATGACTGGGAAGCCTTCAACAAAGTCACCAGAGTTTACACCTCAGCCACCGCCTCCTCCATTGAGTATCCTGTTTGATTTTTCTTCTGATTCGAACCAAATTAGCATACATGGAACAAAGACCGAGACCAAGCTTGTGAATCTTAAAACTTGTCAGGAGGGATTCGTTTACGATCCTTTTGTTGACAAATGTCGCGAGGCATTTCAAGGCGTTATTGGGAATGAGAAACACTCAAGTAACTCGACCAACTCTACTTACAGTAACTTGATAAAGCTGAACTGCTCCGGAATCCGGCTTAATCTTTCAGATACTGTTTTGTATTCAAACGGAACTCTGTGGGTGCCCTTGTACTCAACAAATTACAACCGCACGGAGTATTTCGCGAACGGCTCCATCATATTCTTATGTACCGACTTTGAGAGTAATTATTCAAAAAATGAAATAATTACAAAGTGGTCTTATGCTGTTGATGTAACTACATTGCATATTCTCACCTACGCCGGATGTTCTCTTTCAGTTTTTTCGCTCCTCATTTTGCTGGTAATCTACTGTACATTCAAAGAACTAAGGACTCTCCCTGGCAAAAACCTGGTCAACCTGTCTCTTTCCATGATATGTTATCACATGTTCCTGTTTGTGGCGGGGTTAAAAACTATCCAAGAGGTCTGTACAGGAATCGCAGTCTTTCTTCATTATTTTTTGATTTGCTCATTTGCGTGGATGAGTGTCATGGCGTTTGACGTGACTAAAACATTCGTTTTTCATGGTAAGACACTTTCATCATTCATTCAGTTTTTCGGAAATAAGTAACACCCAACGATGCTGTCATTTCGCCCATAAACTTCTTAAACCGAGAAGTCATTTCGCCACAACGGTTGTTTGTGTTTTCAGACTCTAGACCTGCAAAATTTACGGAATTCCTAAACTTTTTGTCTTTTCTTTGTAGATACTGACCTCCTTTCAGAACAAGAAAAGAAACAGAGAAAGACTTTCCAAAAATATAGCTTGTGCGCCTGGGGTTCCCCAGCTACTGCTGTTGGAATTTGTTTTCTATTGGACCACACTGGTTATGGCAAGTGTTTAGATTAAGGTTTTTTCGTGAGGGAAGGGGAGTGCAGACTCACAAAAATCGTCGGAGATATGTACACAACATTTTATTTGAACACAGTACAGTTACTCAGAAGGTAAAACTCCGTTTCGCTGAGACTGACCAAGATATGTCAATGAGGAAAAGCTCCGTAATCAAAAGCTAAGAATGTTCACATTGATATTATGGATCATGCTAAGTTTCAGGAAGACTCTTTTAATGAATGGAATAACACACAAAGGGGTTGTAAATTTCAAATAAATACATTTACTCTAGTGCCGAGCCCGAAAAGCACCTCCCTCGAATAAGCGGCGCTTTTTCGACAGAAAAGTTAATGAGCCCCGCGGCCCCCTGGTGTGGTGCCTTTTCGAAGGACTCTTTCACAAGCTCCAACGCTTTTTATGCAGTTGAATATCCTAAGAGAACCAGGTGCAAATCCTTTCGGATGCACAGATTCAGACGTAGAACAAGCCTAACCTCTTTACCTAACCTTCGTCGTCGTGTCTAATTTTTGAATGAACGCTGCCCCTAAATAAGCAATACAGTTGAGGCGTGAAAATGTGATTGTTGGAATAAATACGGTGCACAAAAATAAATTGATGGTAAAAGTTAAGAGAAAGTTCAGTTCATTTTGCGAGATATTTTTACATTGTTGAGGGCATAACTTCCGGACTCTCAATCATACATAATTTCATCTCAAGGCACTGTTTGAATTGCACGAATGTAAGGAAAGGTAATGTGTGAGCGCAAATTCAAATATCTTTTCGTGTCTTTTTCAGGACGAGGAGGATTCTGTTGGATGGAAAACGGCACTGCCCTCTTATTTGCTGTGGGAGTACCTATTGCATTTTTTATCTTCTCTAGTTTCGTAGCACTGACTTGGACAGCGGTTGCTATCTACAAAGTGCGAAAGGTGAACTGTTTTATTGGACAAATCGATTCAGTTCATTTTTGGTAATAGTTTATGACGCTGGGATGACCTCCGAGAAATACTGTTCGGTCTGTCTTGCTTTGCCTATACTGTTAAGGTAAAAGTCAATTGAAATATATATCTCCACGACAATAACTGGATATTTTGATATGTTAGGTTACAAGCCAACTGACAAATCAGAGGGGTCATTCAAGTCTTGCTCTTCTGTGTATCAAACTAACCTGTGTCTTTGGTCTAACTTGGATCCTCGGTTTTCTGAACTCCATCGTCAAAGCAGAGGCAACCACATATCTTTTTGTTATCGTTAACAGCTTGCAAGGTAGGTTGACACGCAGCAGTGAATTAGACTTTCCTTCCGGCAAATGATCGCACAAGCCTTTTGGTCTGTCACACTCTCTTGAATGATGGCATCCGTGAGAAAATCAGCTTGCATTCTTGATATACGAATTACAAAACACAAGGAAATTATAATACTTACATGTACATGCAAGCATTGCCTTCTTTTTCGGGCTGTGATAAGTCAAGTTGACATTATCAGTTTTCAGTTTTCAGTTTTTTTTTTGGCAGAGACGTTTCTCTTTTACATGAAATTGAGTCAAAAGTCAAAAGTCAAAAGTTTTTCGTCCCTAGAAAATTCCTTTTGTTCCAAAAGAAGAGCATTTTTCAAGAGACATTTCTGTTTCGGTTATAGATACTGGCCGAGGAAACTGTGAACGGTTTAACGGAAATAATTGCCTTGTCAAATTTTACGGACACCTTTTTTCCTAATTTGTAAAGGAAGGCCTCCAAGTGTTATTGCAGCTGCAGGAAACTGTCAGTGGAGAGAGAGGGATTAATGCGAGTCTGGGGTTGGGATTACATCTCAATCTCAAACAGATGAATCGCATTTTCGGACCTCGTTACTCTCTTTGACCAAAAGTGGTAGGTTTAAACGATCGCAAATCAAATCAATCTCACCATAATGAGTTACTTTGCTTCTACACAGGGTTTTTTATATTCCTGACTTTTGTTGCAAAGAAAAGGATCATAGCCCTGCTGAGAGGCCTAGAAATAATCATCATGAAAGTGGACAGGAAAACAACGACACTTTAGACACAAAATTGTGACTGAGTTTTAGCCTGTCTTCAGCGGCATTTTCTGAGCACAAAACCAGGCTGAGGCTTTGCATTGTGATTCAGCCATTGTCGACTAGGGGGAAAAAGGATCACTTTCTAGTGAATGCCTAATTTTTTCAACAATTCGTCGTTAAGTTCGTTGAGCAGTCTGAACATTTGGAAGCCAGTTATTATGCCTTCTATATTTCCTAGCTGAGTCAACTAACATAGCTAACCATGATGAATTGGCTATTTCCCAAAAACTACCAAAAACACCAATGACATCGACGACAGTGCTACTCATGATAAATTTCATTTTTGATCACTAAATTCTATTGACCCTAACGTGCAAGTCGTTGAATTCCGGCGTTAAAATTTGATTTTATTTACATCTGGAGAACTCACACAAGGAATAACAGATTCCTGCGAACATGTTATGTTTTTACTGGGCTCTTCACCAATTTGGATGAAAACAGTATGCTTCCATACATTCAAATTACAACTGCAGCCAGCAAGAAGCTTCTATGGTGTTTGGAGTGACAACCTTTGTCTGAAGGAAAGATTTAAAGATAATAATTTATAAAAATTACATAGCTTCATAGGTCTACTTTTGGAGGTTATACGCGATTTAGATCTATAAACTGTCAGAGGCTTCTTAGCAGAACCCAATCAAACACAAATAGCGTGACGAAAGATGAGTAAAGACCAGAGTTTCACTTCTCCTTCTCAGATCCAAGAAACAAGTAACATCGCCATCACCACTACTAAAATGCAACAGGTGTTACCGGCAAGATCCCCTCTAAAGAAGCCGTCATCATCATGAGGAAGGTTTTCAACATTTCCTTTTTGATCACTTGATAGAGAATTGTGGGACGGTTGAATAGTGAGTTTAAAATCGTCATTAATGCTCACTACTGTTTCGTTATCGCTGATAACAGGATTTGTCTCAGTTCGGCTATCAAATTGGTTTTCGTCTAGATTTTGTAGCCCTGGAAGCTGGCAAAAAAAATTGCTCTAGTTAATGGTCAAAAATATTGATAAATGTAATTACGAAATTAGCAAAGAGTGACTGTGGAATTTTCCTATAATATTTCATAATTTATTTATTAGTCAATGCTATTGATCATCAGGTAAAGTCATTTCTTCACTTACTCGTATTTCAAGACTTATCAAAACTATCCATTACACAGAATAAGTAATACTTTACTTGTCGTGCCTTTGTAAATAAAGATTTTTAAATTCCCAAAAAATCAGAATCAACAACAACAATAATAGAACATACCGGAGGCAGTTTCAAAGATTTGTTCAGCATTTTCCTCAGTTGTTCACATTTTAGGCAATCATCTTCAACTACGATTTCTTCACGATCGTCCTTAGTAGTTTTATCCTCTGTGTAGTGCAATGTTAACTGCAACTCTAGCCAGGCAACTCTGTTTCTCAGGCGCTAAAATCGTAATGTATGTTGAGGAATGGTAGACCAAAACCAAATTTAGTTGTGTAAGGAATCATGCACTCAGATCCCCGTTTAAAGTGGAGTTCGATTTCGAGCCTTGAGTGATTGCTATACATGCCGCATGATTTTCAAGTCATAAGAAGTCTTCCCTCGTCATTTTTTAGAATTGAATGCTTGAAACTTAAAAACGAAAAGCTTAGTAGTTGACTGGTGCGCGCGAGGGAAAAGTTCTGCGTGGGAGAAAACCAGTGTTTTTTTTTTTTTTTTTTCGCGATGCGTAAGTTTCCTGTCAGAGAAACTAACACGAAGGGTACTGATATTTTGGTAGCATCGTTTTACATTAAGGTTGCCTTTTTATTTTTATTGAAAATTGTGCGTTGTTATTCGGGTGAAATTATATTACTTCAAAGATTCATGGCTTTGGTTTTTCGGAAACCCATCCTTAGTAGACAAACTTACTTGCTCTAAATTCAGAATGAGCTTGAAATTCTCGGCGTCTAAGCCCAATGAATTGTTGGAATATCTAATTTATATTACTTGTTGTCTGCGTGTGCGTCTATTTGCTCTTCAATCAACAACATCAGTCTTAGGCTAATCTTGATATGGCGAATGACGAACGAGTTTGGTGATTTTCATCAGGAAAAATCAGAGTTCCGTTGTATGACTCGCACGAAAATTGAAGCGGCCCAACCGCAATTGAAATATAGCATGGAATGACCCATATATTTTGATCTAGACCCTTTTTAGGTGCTTAAATAATTTCCCCTCAAAGAAAATGCTCAGTGGAAAACTGCAAACTTACCTGGATAGTTTTATTTTTGGATTTCAAGCGCTCTTTAAGTGTCTTGTGCCCAGATTGCTTCTTAGTTAAAAGGTTCATCGTTTGGTTAGGTGGTACTTCACGACTACAAGAACTCAGCATGATCTAACTCTGATCGGCAGTGACATTCCATCTGCTTTCATTGTCTAAGTAAAGCGTTGAACCCGAGCCAAAAGCGCTCTCCTGCGTCACTTAAAAACTAAATTGGTGAATCAAGCTCTGATTATCACTAAATTAACAATTATGCCCTGATGACGCAATCACAGGAATTCTTGAAGTAATGCACGCGCTTCCGACGTAGGTAATAAGTACTGTTAGAGGTCCGACAAATCTTCGTTGATTCTTGATTGAAGAAATGTGAAATGGTTTCCGTGCTTACATAGCCTGATGTAAACACGCGGGAGGTTGGGAGAACACGAGATAAGCGTAGGAAACCAGGACGCAAAGCTGAGTGGTTTCCAGCTTATCGAGTGTTCTCCCAACCTCCCAAGTGTTTACATCAGGCTATGTAAACACGGAAACCATTTCACATTTCTTTTATAAAATAACTAATGAAAGAGGAACGAAAACCGTGTTTACATACGCTCATGTACAATGGCTTTATGGCCAATCAGAGCGCGCGTACTATTTGAATTATTTTATAATTTTATTTATGATTCTTCTGATTGGGCTCTTTATGCAAAAATTACAAAACAAAATAGATTGTAAATAAAATTCGCCATAGCATTTCGTTATTTTCTTTCCTTCCTCCTCCTTTCTCCTTCCAATTTCCATTTCAGTCGACCGTTTTTTAACACTTTGACAACAAGCATGATGCGACTCAGCTGATGTAGTGGGGTATAATTTATATACATAGCTGAGACAGAGCTCCAACTTGCATGCTAGAGCCTAGAATATTTTACAAGAGTAACTTCTCCAGCAGTCATATATATATATATATCCTTATTTATCACAAAAAAAGGCAAAGAATTGTTTTCCATAGCCGTAGCCTGAGGCTTAGAACCAATCTGCAAGACAATAACAAATCAAGGCATTTTGCGACAAACGCTTTGTTCAAGTGACTGTGTCATCTGTGGATTACCGAGCATTTTCATAATTATTCAATATTCGGAGATCACTGCTTGAAAGCATTGATAATCGATCTGCTATTATCTCCAGAAGTGCGTGGACAGAACTCTCACATGAGCAGCAGATCATTTCAAGAAAGACACCGTTGGAAGGTGTTTCGCACGAGCAGACCATGATTTTTTGGTAGTTATTTGCAGTTCACGTGGTGGGCTAAAAGGCAAAATACGTACATCGAGTGATGATATATGACTTATGCAATACATTTCTGAAGCCATGTTTCACATCATCAGTTTCAAATTTGTATTGAGCTGAGTGAGATTTCATAATGTTGAATATTCTGTCAAAAGACAAGTGAGAGTTAAATCTAAGATACTGTACATCAATAATAAATCCCACGAGTAAGCTATGTTGCGATTTTCCTGACGTGAGTCGACCCGGACTGGCATTCATTTGTATCAGTGTGGTTTGTGGGGCTGAATCGTGACACACAATAAGCCTTTATCTTGCTGTATGTCCGTCTGTTTGCCACGAAAGCCAGAAAAATGAAGAATCCTATAAATAACAGGGGGTTAATGAATCACTCTATAAGTGGAACCACTTACATTAACTTCCAACTAAAAACAGTGATTTAATGGAGATGAATTCTTGATCAGAAGGAAGTTGAAATAATTTAATATGAATTTTTTATCATGGTAACATGATAATGTGGTAACAAAACGTAGAATCAAGGAGTCTTCTATGGTGTAATTGATCATAGTAACATGATGATGGGGTAACAAAACGTAGAATCAACGATTAAGGATTAGATGACATTGATGTCTTCTGGCAAAAAGGAAAAATAATATTCAGGATTGCACCTGAGTGGAATATTCGATTTTTTATCCAAATGTTTTGGTCCGTTTCAATGATTCTTAGGTACAGATTAAAGCCATGGACCTACCTTTTACTTGCTAACCGTCATTTGCATAGAAAACGTACCTTGAAGACTGTTTAAAATCACAAACAAATAATTCAGAAACTCCACTTTGGCAAATGGAACGATGAAACCCAATATCCAGGTGAAGCCAATAGACGAAGACAGCTTTAAGTACAGGATAAGAAGACTGGTCTCGTTACTTGTTACGTGACGCGTGGTCTGTCATGAAGGAAAAGGTTATTTGCTTTGTTACTAGCTAGGGACAAAGGACGAAACAGGGTACCTAAGAGAAGTTGACTCACAAGCAAAAGAATAACTTTCTGACGAAGAGCTAACGCTCGAAACTTCAGCTTGAGAAACTCTTAAGTGTGGCCAATTCACGTTATCAACGCAGTTGACAAAACAAAACTATCTTGTGAGCACCCCTCCCCCCACCGGCGCAGCACCATGATTTCTTACCCCATTTGCTCCCACAAACTTTCGACATTGCTCGTCGCTTGTCAAATATAAATTTAGTGACGGCCTATCTCACCATGAAGTTCTCTGTAGCTCAGTGGTGAAGTGGATGAAGGTTTAAGACTCATTTGCCATTTGGGAATTTTTCCATGAGAGTTTTTGCTTTAACCTACGCTAGTGAAAAAATCCAACAGCATCTTTTTCTTATTGACGACCTGGTTTAAAATTTATTGTCTTTCCAGTAATCTTTTAGGGAGTCTAAGATATTTGATTGGATCAAGATAAACGTCATAAGCTCATTGTCAATGAAGCAATAAGTACTTAGAAAAACGTGGGCAAGATAAACTGAAAATACCATGGTTCCCTAAACCGTTAAAACTTCGGACAACCGCCAACCGCTCAATAACGGCCACCAACACTTTTACAGAGAAATAATCATGTTGAGTAAGGTCTTGCATGAATAGAAGAGAAACTTCGAGAACTACCTTCTTAACCTTCCAAATAGAAGCCATCGTGTAGGAAAGAGCAGCTATGTTGAAAATTATGATGACTGCCACAGGTAGACCAAGTACCAGAAGAAGTGCTTTCCCATTTGAAATCCAGCAAAAAATGTCACCTAATTGAAAAATCAGTAAGCTCTATAGAATGCATGGGAGAGACACGTGTGTTGATCAAGTGTACAGCAGGTATTCATTGAATTAAATTCCCAAACGAACTTAAAAAAATATAGCGCTGAAATCTTGGAGAATGCACGTCAAGAGATTTTGAGGTGTGCATGTTGAGAGTTAAGGGGAACGACCTTTACATCAAGTAAAAAATCACAAAGACTATTCTGGGGTGGAAAAAAATTTAAGAGAAACGAATGGAGCTGATAACAAACAAGTCTAATCAAGGATAGCAGAGATTAGTATGATTGCAAATAACCAGTTCGCATTTAGACAAACAACGAAGTAGCTGCTTGTAGGAATAAATACAAGGGCCAAATACAAGTGGGTGTTACGATATATTTCTAGGAATTCTACCCACAGGGCTCAAAAAAGAGTTCAGTCAGGGGTTGAGGGAGATTGTTTTCACCGTACTGTCGTACCGTATCCAATGCTGAATGCGTCTGTTTTATCCAGAGTTACACTTGTGATCACAACAAGAGCAGGAGTGATCCAGGCAAATACGCAGTATACCATTAACGCATTTGTGTTACCACTAGAGCGAGAATGTGCTGGTTGCCCTGTTTTTGAAAATAGATATATTTGTTAGTTTAAGCAATCGGAGAGACCAAGATAAGTCTCATAACCAATATCTCTAATTTTATCGACTCTAAAGCCTAACTCTATTTACATCTGCGCTTTTTGCTTCCTTATACCTATATTGCAAAGGACTTCAAATAAGTAAATTGATGAAATGCTAAATGCAGTTTGGAGGTTGGAGGTCTAATAGAAACAGGAGGTGCGAATAATGTAATTCAGACTCGGACCATAAAGTTCGCACTCAAGTTGTCCACAAACAAGTCAAAAATTGAAAATGTCGAATTTCGTTCTCACCATGTCCTCCTCACCTACCGTCGATGATAAAGATAAAGGTAAAAGTATTTTTGTAGCGCCGGTATCCTGATGTTCATTACAATGACTTTCATGTTTGAATTCTTTAACTTCAAGAAAACGAGAGCTACGATTTAACCGTTACTTTTGGTAAGGTGTTTTCAGGCTCCGAGACCAAAATAAGGTCAACACGTTTCCTTCTTACTACTTTACGAAAATATAATTTTCGACAGTATTTAGTGTGCAACTCGTAATTGATATCACACTGGTAAGAGAGCCTACCATCTCGGTTTAAAAGAAGCACCAAATATGCATCTTAAAGTCCATGAAATAAGTTACCTGTGGCTCCAAACGTCTTTGCCACATCAAATGCCAAAACTCCCATCCAGAAAAATGAACACAACAGGAAATAATGGAGTAGAATGGACACCGTCATGCAAAGTTGTGGCTTGTCGGTCTCACCAGATAGAAAGAACATGGTATGGTACAACAACATTGCACAGGAAAGATTCATGAGGTTCTTCCCTGGCAAATTCCTCAGCTCTGCAATTGCAATGTAAGTACCAAGAAGAAAAAGTAGGGACATTATGGAGGTGGTGCATCCGATGTACGTTAACACTTGTCGTGGTGTGATCTTTCTTGATGCGACTGTTTCCTTCACGACATAGTTACGACTGAGGTTCATACAAAGGAAGAGAGATGACCCATTGATAAAGAAGCTTTCGTTACCGTACGATTGTTTGTGCAATGGAATCCATACTGAGCCGTTAGTTTGAATTCTAACAGAATTTAGTTCCATTTCGACAAAGGAACAGTTGATGGAACTTTCATTATTCGTAGCAATGTGAACGCTGACTTGAATGCATTTTTCAGTGAAGGGATCAAATACGGATCCTTCAGCACACAGCTTGTTCATTACGACAGTCTTCTGTTTTCCCAGTCTTATGGTGTGGAAAGAGGAGGAAAAGTCGAATAAGATATCCAAGGGAGGTATGCCAGGTGGTGGTGGTGGTGGTGGTGGATTCACTGAGTAGCAGGCACAAGAATATGCGCTAATGTCTTTGCCCTTGCAGATTTCACAATGTGGATTCTTTTTTTGAGCGCTGTCACAAACAGGAAAGGCGTAAAATGAACATAAATCGGGCAGCAGTGGTTCTGCTTGAATTACTGTTGGATCTGAACAGCTTTGCTCTATGGCCAAGCATTGCTTTAGCAGATGCTTATTACCAGTGGGTGCTTTGAATTCCCATTCACATCTCGTCATTATGTATTCCAACATCTGTGATCTGTCCTTTGGAACGTTATGAGTGCTAATACGTTTGCATGAGGCGGAGAATTTCCAGTATGTCTGATTCTTCGCATGATTGCATTTAGAACAGAACACATTCTTGTACGTGAGTTTTTCCTCCATGTCTGTTACAGGCAAAAGTCTGAGAAGATTTGTCGCGGTGGGTTTTTCAACGCATAGGGAATTCAGACTCTGGTCGGGATTGTTTGATGGACAGCTGGAAATCATTACGAACCCATAATCCGTCGAGTTGTTCGTTTTTATACACTTCTGCTTAGTAGGGCTCTTTTTCGGTGTCTTGGAAACCTTACACCTTGAAGAAAAGGGATAAGTAAGTACGACTGGCCGACTGAACTGAACTGATAGGTCACAGAAACCGCCAATGTGGAAAAAAAAAACAAGTTCAATTAAGTGGTTAATCGATCGGGATGTCAAGTATCATTCCCTTAGTTAGTCAATCTGTACTTTCATGGTCTCCTATGTGTGTGAATTAGTCTGTCCATCCTCATATTCAGGTATAAAAATGATCTGTGTTATCTAAAAGGTGTACCACTGTGCTAGCGAATTGAAGGTTGACCAAAGATCTTCAATCTTAAAAGAAGAAAAAAGTCGTATTTGGTCTGATGAAGATGTTGATGTTGAGTGCTTTAAAAAATAAACTTTTTTGGTGAAAAGTTAGCCACTGAGGTAGTCAAGGAGTCAGGCAGTCGACCACTCATCCTTCCCCTTCGATGGATTAACCTCGTTTATGTTAATAGACATAACGAAGTATCAGTGAAATTTAGTATTATCAACTGAGTTGATAACGTAAATTGCCCACTGTAAAGAGTTTTAAAAGCTGACGTTTCGAGCGTTAGCCCCTCGTCCTCGCTCGAAACGTCAGCTTTTCAACTCTTTACGGTGGCCAATTTACTTTATCAACACAGTTTATGTACTAGATTACCCTGTTATACTCTCCCACCGACGCAATAAGTAAATTTCTTTATATATTTATGTGTTATCTGCTAACCAGGAGATGAAAGAACTTTGGTAAACTTAAGGTTTGGAGCTAAACTCGACACCAAGAAACTCGCGCCATCAGCCAATCACAAGCAATGCATGCAAAAACCAACTTTGGTTTGGTGCGCAATGTTTGCCTGTACAGCAGGTTTGCAGTTTGCAGTTTGCAGTTTGCAGTTTGCAGTTTGCATGTTATCACTCTTAGTTCTAAATTTTTTGGGAAGGGAATCAAAAAGGCCACATTAGATGTTCAGGTTAACCCACTTCGAGAAAAAAATTCATCCTTTGTAGATCCTTCTTGGAAATTAGAGAGTGCATGGCAATAACGACATAACAATGAAGGAATTACTTTAGAAATTAGTCCTTCGTGGAAGGACTTAGTTTTCCAACTTAACCCCCCCTTCTTTATCCTGTCAAAATGTATTACCTCAAGAAGTAATCGAAGCAACAATCCCCCAACTTGAAACATAACGTATCGCAATAGCAAGGCCTTTTGTACGCTCGTTCTTGGTCTTGGTCGTCCAAAGGGCATATCCGATTGCAGGAATACTCGGGTGAGGGGCATATACTTCTCATATCAAATGGGGAAGAAGTCATGTTTAGTCTGATGAGGAGGCTGCTTGTGCTTATGGTCTTGTTATGATACTGAATCAGCAGATCCTTTACGGCTGGTGCAAAAATAAAATGAAATTGCGAACAATTAAATAAAATGAGAAACAGAAAAGTTCAATTAAATAGTACTTGATATTTCCCTACATTTTTAACTTTAAATTTTCTTGAATTCACAGTCATAAAGTCATAATATCCCCACCATGGGAATATTTAATCCACCAACTGAAAGCTTACATACTCTCAAGAAGATTTTGTTATTTCTTGAACAATTCTAACTTTTCCTGGCTCCTGAAATTATTGAAGACAGCCTAAAAAATATAGCCTGGTTTAATCAAAACCTTTTATCATTATACATTTAGTCTAAAGCAGTTCTTAAACTTGTATTTAGACGTCTCAACTGAACCACGCTATATTAGAGAATACACATATTGATTTCAGAGAATCTGGGTCAGAAGACTGCTAGGCGTGATACAACGCTGCAAGGCTTCACAATTTATTGGGGTCGTCTCAATTCTTCATTCGTTTGAGGTTGTGGAACTAATTGACAATTAATATTTTGGAAGCTATCAGGTCCCCATAAGTAAAACACAATTAGTAGAATTAAAGATATTAGACACCCAGAAATCCTTCACCAGCATTTCTGTATTGCTCTCTTTAGTAAGAGTATGGCCTTCTTTACATCGCATAGAGTTTTAATAATGACAATGTAGCTGTATTACAACATGAACAGTATAAAAGTTTGGAGGCGTTAATAACAGAATACCTCAGTAAAGTACTAAAATGCGCATTTTATAAAGTTCAAAGTCGACAACAGTCCCGGCTTTAGTTACATACACTCTATATTTCTGATTGGGAAGCTGAGGGGGCGGGGGTTGGGAGGGACTGCTTATTAGTAAACCATTTTCTGATCCTGGCCGATTCAGCCTCTTCGCCGTTTTCAAGCCATTTTTTTTCGGAAAGTTACATTCATTGCTCAGCCCGATCTGTACGTACAAGTCAAGCACTGTCACTAAGGGCAAATGCAGATAGAGACGTTATCTTGCTATTTCTACTTACGTGCGGGAGTAGATAAAGAAGGTTGGAGTCCTGGTGCGGGAGTAAATGGAGGAGGTTGCAATCCTGTTGTATTTGGTGCAGGTACTGATGAGTTAGCTGCTTTTTCAAAGCCACAAAAGAACATCACAGTGAATATCAAGATCAGCATCGTCTTTAGACCAACAGCTTGTGTAATCTGCAAGAAGTGAAGTAGTGGATTGCCCCATTACTGATTTGCTTTAGTGTTATTAATGCTCTTAAAACGGTGGTTAGTTTGAAGTCACACACAGACGAGAATTGGTCCTCGTGGCACTTTAAACTCTAGCTTGCCCGGGAATGCTTTGCACAGCTTCCACGACTTATGTAAATCCTGTTAGGGCACTTTGATTTAAAAACAGAAAAACTACGAAAGGCCCAGAACTGAATTAAAAGTTGTAAGCGACCTGATTGCAGAAAGGAAAATGTTAAAATTTTTCTCTTTTGAAAATACTAACCTGGTAAGTCAATGAAACTCATATTACAGTCTAAATAAAAAGGGAAAAAAAATTAACGAATCGGCCCTTACGAAAAACGAAGTGATGATGTTTTTAAAGCATGTTTCATTTGATTTATTTGAACTGGAATTCTAAGGTTATTATAATTATCGAGTAAAAACAGTTAAAAAGAATAGGCCATTCGAAAGTCAACTTGGTGTTATTTAACTCCTTGCATCGAGACTTTTTTACTTAAAAGATTTTTTACACGAGCACCAGCCAAAAGATATTTACAATTTGAATAGCAATATTATTCTCATAGAAAAGTAAAACGAAAAATACTTCTTTTCTCGTGAACAAGTCAATATACCTATGCGTCATTCCTATCAGGCATTTAATTCATTTTATTTCCTTTTATATAGAACACAGCACATTTCCGCTGAAAGCCTTGGTTCTTTTTGTCAATTCTCTTACTCCTAAGAGTGAACAAGGCAGAATTTACCTTTTTATAGAAATATATCTCGCACATAAGTGATGGTTACAAGAAAGATATCAATTAGGAGATTATTATTTTGTAGTTGATCCAATACTAAATCCTCCGAACAAACATCATAAGAATTGTAGGGCAGACAGTAAAGAGATTATTGATGAGATCTTGAGGGTGAAAAGGATAAAAGAAGCACTAACATGAAATAATATCTAGAGGTATAATAACCATAACGGTACCACAATCTGCATGTATTGTATTTCTCTATTCCATACTTATGTTCAAGTGGGCTTTTTACATCTGACCAGCTGGAATTTGGCAAGAGAATTAAGAAACCGATGAATTTTTTGGGCGCATTTTTTTTTCTTTCTTAAACGAAAATAAAAGTCGACTGCGTTTTTTTTTCCATTTCTAGCTGTAACGGTCAAATCATTTAAGTAAATAGCATTTTTTAGACCACTCAGTTGCTCTTTCCACTCTTCGCTTGAGTCCATCGTTACGATAGGTTTGTCGCCTACAACTAGACTTTCGCAGGGAACGCAACGGTAACGGAGGAAATAACTTGATGGGCACGACATAGCTGCGGGAATGGAAACTCGAATCGGCGTTTCCTGCTACACAAGACGTACTTCGGCATGCTTAGTTCGGGCGTAAAGGGTCAAATTCCGTCTGTTTCTCACTGAAGTTTATTTTATTTCACGCCGACAGCTGCCATGAACACTAGAGTACTTAATAGTGTAATCTTTCTGATCACAAGTAGAGTGAACGATGTAAGCAAAAGGTTTACGATGTACTTCCCTAACCCCATAACTCCCGTGAGCGACCAAGACAGAATTTCTCCTGACCATATCATACAATATCATGCAGACAAGTTAGGAGAATAAAGAAAAATATTAATTATGGGATGACTATTTGATCCGAGACCAAATTCTCCAAATTAATACAATGAGAATCATTTGGCAGTTAATAAGGAGAATTTATAATGAGATTTTGGGACTTAAAGGGTCAAGTACTCTTGAGCGTAGGGTTCTATTGTTCTCTAAATTTACACTTTACGGTAATTTCCACTTAAATATTCCATCTGTCCGGAGAACACTAACCAAGAAAGGGGAAATTAATCATATAATTTCGAAATTAGTTGCGGTAGAGCAACGTAGAAAGTAAAAATAAGAAGTGAATTAAAATTTCTGCTTATCTATGCGATGTTGGTGTTAATTTTGAACAGGTGGCAACGAGGAAAATTATCGTATCAAAAGAACTAAATTACGGACGCAAGTTCAGCTGGCAACTTTCCTGAGAAATAATTTACCAGAAAAGGTCGCTACCAGGAATGTTTACACAACAATGTCCACTTACAGGTGCACCAAGGCGGCGAGTACAAAGCGATATGTACTATTGATAGTTGAAAGACCTTACTGTTGCCTTTTATCTTTTTTTTAAACATTAAAATGAAAGAAACGCAAATGAGTTGAGAACGGCTAAAGTAATAAATAAATTGTTCCAAGTCGCACGGAAAATCACTAAATTTTTCCTTAAGACTATAAAAAAAAGAGCTACAACAAAATACAATAAAAAAACAAAAAAACAAAAAACAAAATATTAAAGAAGGAAAAAAAAAGCAATGGAAGCTGTTTTGAGAATAATTCTTTCATTCTCTGAAACATTCTGTTTTTCTAGATTGAACTAAGGGAAAGTCGACTTCACAAAATTTTTGTACACACGAGAGAGTCTGTCAGGTATTTTTTATTTAGTTTTATTCGCTAAAAGGAAAAAAAGTAATTCATGCAATGCCCATAAAATTAACTCAACAGGCCAGTCGCATTTCCTTACTTTGCACAATATTACAACGTTGACACGAAGTTGACAAAACTATGTTTTCTAACCAAGTAATCTGCAGAATGTTTTGGAAAAGTTACCTGTATGTAACACACTGACGTGCATGATTCTTTAAGGATTAAACAAAGTTTTAAAGTGATAACTTCCAATCGTTTAAAAATATAAGGAAAAAAAATTCTACTTACTATTCTTCAATTCCTACTTCAGACCTGGATTATCTTTTCCAAATGTATTTCAGTTCTAATGGTCCCACGTTGTACGACATACGACGTTATTAAAAAAGCTGGCAATCGTCGGCCCTATCTAGGAGCCCAAAAGGAGAGGCATAAATAACCAAAATAAAAAAAAAGCATTTTCAAATTAGACAAAGGTGCAAAATCAAGATGCCATCCCTTCATTTAAATTTTTTACAAACCTCAAGTTTCAGCTATTTCTTATTCACTTTCGACAAAAATATTCTTCGATTTTGCCTGGCACGTATTAACAAACCTCAGCGAGCGATTTTACCCAGAATCAATTTGCATCATGGAACTTGCACATGATATTTTTTTAACATCCTTTTTTTCAGCGTGAGCCGCAATAACGCCAGCACCAACTAAATTCGTATTTTAAGCACTAAATTAGTTATATATTATCATGACTAGGCATAACTATGTAAATTTGATTCTTCGTCAATCTACTTAGCATATATTATCCCTAGCAAAGCTAATTATGCGATAAACATGAAACTAAATAAAAAGGTTCATTTTTGTGGACCTTAATCTTGTTTTAACCATAAGCTCCTAATTTTCCAGAAATTAGTAAAAAAATGGAATTTCCATAACGAACAAAGAATAAAACATGGAAAACTTGCCGCAATGCTACCGAATGGGCAAATCTGATCGTGTTAACTGAGATATTCTCCTAGTCATTTACCTCATGACATTTCAGCCCTGTAAGTTGTTCGATTCCTTTCTGTCTACCTTAAGTCATTGCTTTACTTAAATGATTTATCTCTTAATCCAATAATGTCAGTAGAGGGAAAGAAATTGTGATGACTTGTTTAAGGCTTTCCTTTTGACTTGGAAGAATAGAAATATGCTCAATCCTTCGTAAAATTAACTTCCTTACAAACAAAAAGACATCTCTCTTCCCTTTCAAAGGACGGGAAGCTCCGGACATCAGTAGTTTTTGTTGCTCACCATTATTTCATCGTCCTCCCTCGCAAGAAGGTTCCTTTAAGCGTAGGCAGATACTATTAAAAGTATGAGTTTGCTGCACAGGTTGAAGTTTATGACCAAAAATGTCAGAAACACAACTGGAAAAAGAGAGAAACGTTTACTTTCACGATTATGGCTTGATTTCACAATGCCTCATGATCTAATGAGTTTTAAACCTAAGCCAGCTGAGTATATATCTTTTCATGTATAAATTATTTACGAAGAAACGGTTCCATATTTGAAATTTTTTTTTTTTTGCATGGGTTAAGCAAATATCTAATAACATAAGTGTAACCTCTCTCATTTAGACTGAAAAGAAACTTATTGGATTTTTGAAACTAATAAATCTTTTCGATTGTACTAGCACCAAATTCACTAATGCTCTTTCTGCACTTTTTCTGTAATGTCTTTTGTACATTGGTGGGTTTTTTTAAGTTCATTTTCCTCTGATTGTCAAATATCCCATTTCCTCAGAATCAAAAAAAAAATCTATTAAATTGGAGAAATATAACCTTACATTATCTTGGCGTACGTCACTTAATTACGTCAACAAAGTTTCACTTTTGTAAAATACGTGAAGGATAAGTAACTGATGCAAGGGGAAAAAACACCCCTATGAATATTTAATTTATCCTAAAGTGACTATTATCGAATTTCCTCGCACAGTGTACTCTTGACCCAATCATCAATGTCATTAGGGAAATGATCATAGGCGAGAGAAGATATTGATTGCTACACAAATTCTCCTTTTTATTATCATAGCAAATGTATGGAGGACAGTTATTTTCATAGAAAATATAGGTACTGATTTTAGGGTTTGGAAACGCAACAAACTTAGCTAGCTGGGGGAATTATCAACTTGGTAGGCGTACCGTCATTTATCAAATGATGCTCAGCTAGCCAGGTCAGAAAGTTCTGAGCCGCCTTGACAAAACAACAAGAGACAAATGAATTGATTAACTAAATTACAACTCTATGGTATGAAGTATCTACAGGCAGAACTAACCGCCTTATTTACCAAATAAGTTGAAAATACATATCGTGAGTCATACCTTCCTTAATATCTCCAGTGGTGTGCTAAAATCTTCTTGAAGAAAGGACAAGGAAACAAAATAAAGAGGGAGATGGGGAGTGTCATGTTATCCTCCGCATCCCCCCTTCCTTCTATGTCTTACGGCTGAAGGGAACCTCAGGCCTCTCGCCATGTAAAAGTTCCAAAATATGTGACAATTGCTTTTCTCACTAATAAATTCTTAAAGTTTACATAGGGTTCTCGAATCTTGGCATGAGATGTGAAACATCAAATCAACAGTTTACCACTGAGTTCTCATTAAATATTTACTATTCCCACTTTTCTCACAATAGGTAAGCCGACAAGCTTAATGCTATATTTAAAACCATAGACCTGTATTTAAAACCATAGACCTCCATTATCTAAAAATATCCATGCATTTCTTCGAAATCATCTTTTTCTTGGTTTCTCATCGCCTCGAGGTCATCCAAAAGGGTCCAGAAGTTAAAAGGGCGGATACTGTTAGCAATGGATAAATCGCTATCCAGTGGATAAGTGTCAACAAACCGTACTGTGATTTCCACCGAATAGGGATTATTTTCTTAGTCAATTATGTTATCCACCCATCGAAAAACCGGAGCCAAATCGTTCCAAAGAAAATCTGCTCGACAAGCCCTTTTAAGCTGTATGCGGTTCAACCTGCACATTAAATTGATATTTTTCTGAAATTAAAGTTGAAATTGAAGTTGAAGCTATAATAGTAGAACAATGAACTGGTTTGCAAAGTGTGCCAATTCCAAGTCAAAATTTCTAGTTCGTCATACAAATACACACTTTGTTTACTCTAAAACCAATGCAACTTTCAAGTGTTCGCTCAGGATGAAAACTAAACGATTATATTAAGCTAGTTTAATTTCAGTAATTGTATTTCTTTGAAGGCTGTTTCTGCCGGTTCACTTGATTGTCTAATTGCATTCCTTTTGTAAATAGTCAGGTTAACATAATTGCTCAATTACATACTTGTTATGGAAAGGATGTTTGTTTACAAAACTTGCTTTGTTTAGTGTTCGGCTCATGTCAAAAGAAATGAGTAACTCAAATAAATACAAAGCTTTTTAGTTCGCTTGAAATTTTCAAATTGTTTTCACACCAGGCTGTTATTTTCAATTAGTTAGATCATGCATGGATAAAATTTCGGTTTTTAAACCTCAGAGACACCTTTTGTCAACATTTATCCTCTAGCTTACCAATAAAAGGAACTGACTCATGAAAAATACTGAAAAATTCAAAAAACGAAATAGTCGTTAGTTTTGGTTGTAATTACCACTGTTATACATCACAGTTTTGGCAAAAACATATAGGCCAAATATAAATCACTTCATTTTACATTTTGCAATACAATTATAAAACTAAGACCGGAAGTTCAATTTACTCCAGGATTTATCGTCTAACAGCCTCTTGTTATAAGTTGATCATATCCTTTCCTGAGCCTGCTTTCTTTCATCTAGATTGCCATCTTGTTCAGCGGAATTGTTAAGGGAGACGTCTGTGCTTACAGACGACAATTGTAGATTCAAACGTGGGACTGGCCTCAGTCGCCTTAAACAAGCATGGCAGTCCAGCATGTTCTTGAAAGCTTTGCGGAAATTTTCTAATCTCCACGCATACACGAAAGGATTTACCCCTGAATTGCCCATCACAAGAACAATCTGGATATCTCTGACCCAATGAATAAACACACAATCACAACTAGTACAAAAGTTTATGATATAGATACAAATACACGAAGGAAGATAAAAGACAAGAAATAGAGTTAACACTGTAACCAACGTTTTGGTTATTTTAGCCTCCCACTTCACCGCTCGTTTCAAAGCCAAATTCTCCTCTGAGCTGTCATGCAGACTGTCCCATTGCCGTACTTGGCAACGCAGATACTTGAAAATCTTGGTAGTGGTGAATATCAGGACAGCAAAGGTGATAGCTATAGCAGTGTTGGCAAATACAAAGCGGAATTTGTTGAAGCCAATAATGAAGTAGACCATCGGAAGCAGAGCTGAAATAATCCATACCGCCACAGATATCAATAAAGCTCTGATCGAGCTAAGTTTGGCTCTGTACTGCAGAGGATACGTAATAGCGCAATAACGATCTAGTGCCAAGGCTATAAGGCTGAGAAGGGACGCTGTACATGAAATGAAGTAAAGAATGTGCGACACGTCTTTGAAACCTTGGTGAAGCATACCGACCCCTTCAAAGATGTGATACACTGTACTCAAAGGGCCAAGTATGAGACCAACGACCAGATCTGCTACACTAAGATTCACCAAAAAGTAAGTGAACGGCGAACGCAGGTCTTTGTTTGGGTTCAATAACACAGCAAGGACAACCAACGAGTTGCCAACGGAAGCAACAACGGTGATGAAAATCGATGTAGACGCAGTAAAGAACGAGATATATGTTGGAGCCGATGTGTTGTCACAGGGATACTTGCCAATTAATGACATTATTTCTACTTCCTCACCTCAGGATTGTAATTTGCTGAAAGTAATCTTAGCAGCGAAGATTCTTTTCCTTTTCAAGCTGTTTGCTACATAAACGTTGTCAAATTTTCAAATTCACTGAGATAAAGCCAGATCATTCTCGGAACGCAGTTGCGCTAAATACCGGTTTAACACGACAGTACACTAATACTACCGGTTTTCTTTGTCTCGAACATTTCATTTTCGTTAAAAGCGAAATCAACTGAATATGCGACAATAATAACATACATTGAAAAAGCATCTTAAAGCTTAAAGAAACTAGTAACTGGCCAGCGTTTATAATCAGTTTATTTGCTAATGGGAATATATAATTAGTCATGCACATCATTTATTCTATAAGTAAAAGCCTTTCTACTTCTGATAATATCGAGAATTATGTTAAAGGTCACACGTGACTGACTCGATTAAGTGTTGTCTGGGTTTCTAGGATTTTCTTTTGGTTTTCAACGCCTAATTCACACTGTAGATTAGGTACAAAACGCATCTATATTAAAGATTAAGCAAAACGCGACCCTGAGTACATATTTCGAGCACAAATTTGCAATTTTTCAGACTTCCAAAAAAGACTTCCTTAGGGCGCGGAAGCGTCCATCTTAGTAAGTAATCCAACAGATGTTTAAATTTGACATGACACCAAATTTGCCCGACTAAGGGTAACATTCGAATTCGGTGATTCAATTCTCCCCTGCCGGTATTTCCCTAAACTATTCGTACGTTAGTCCCAATCAATTTTTAGGGCGAGTTTCCCCTGTGGATAAGTACCGGAAGATATTCAAGGTTGAAAGTAATATCGCCGACAGGTTATCAAATTCATGGTATTGCCTTTAAATTCCTAGTGGAGCATACGGTATAATGTAATTTCCGCGCAAAAAAGTGTAAGGTAGCTGAATGTGTGTCTGCAAGATCGCATTGAGACATTTACTCTATTGCTTAGTCTCCATGACAAAATTTTGTTGACATTTGACTTTTGTGGGTTTGTTTTCGGCAATAAGTGTTAAAAAAGATGCACGAAGGCAACAAATGATGACTAAGTGGAGATTTTTTTCAAATTTTTTCTCGTGACTTACCTGTCGATTAAGGCTTGTCTGGATTTCTAAGATTTTCTTTTGGTTCTCAACGCCAAATTCACACTGGAGCTTGAGTACAAAACGCATATACAGCAAAGACTACGCAAAACGCAACCCTGAGTTATATTTCTAGCTACAAATTTGCAATTTGTCAGTCTTCCAAAGAGACTCCCTTAAGAAGCACAATTGTTCATTTTAGTCAGTAATCCAACAAATATTTTTGCTAATGTTCGATCGGTTTAAATTTGACATGACACCAAATTTGCCCTACCTACGGGTAACCTACGGTGATTCGATTCTCCCCTGCTGGTATTTCCCTAGTTTCCCTTCTAGATGAGTACCCAGAGATCTTCAAAGTTGAAAGTAATATCGCCGACAGGTTATCGAATACATGGTAATTTAGTGTTAACAACAGGGTTAAAAACGTAAATTATTGATTGATCAGCGATTGATTTTATCGCTCTGACGAAGGGCTAACGCTCAAAACGTCAGCTTTTTTACCCTTTACGGTGGCTAATTTACGTTTTCAACCCAGTTGTTAACACTAAATTACTTGCTATACTTTCCCACCGACGCAGCACCACAGTTTCTTTAGAAACTTACCCCTTTAACGAATACATGGTATGTCCTTAAATTTCTAGAAGGGCACCAGGTAAGCAAAGAAATACAATCGATAGTACATACGGCATAACGCAATTTCCGTGCAAAAAAGTGTAAGGTAGGTGAATGTGTGTCTACAAGATAGCATTGAGGCATTTACTCTGTTGCTTAGTCTTCATGACAAAATTCTGTTGACATTTGACATTTTGTTGGTTTGTTTTCGGCAATAAGTATAAAAAAGATGCATGAAGGCAACAAATGATGACTTAGTGGAGATTTTGTTCAAATTTTCTCTGTGTTAACCTGACATTTTGTTGCCTTCAACTTATCACAATTGAATAATACTCTTGTTATATCGCTTAGAACGTTTACATGTTTTGCATTCCGTTCCCCAGTATGTGTCAGACAAACATGAATAACAGTTATTATGCATATATTAAGTTCGAAAAGAGATAATCATCGCTTTTAAAATCGAGTCAAAGCCATTTCGACCCTATGAACCCGTATTAAATTATTTACATTGGTCAGAAGTTAAGTTACAAGACCTGATCAAAGTTCTTTATCTTTTTTTTTTACGACCATTAACTTAGTACCACGGTTGTTTTGCCCTTTACAGCATTGGATTGATCAGAGAAGTGTATGTAAGTATCAATCGCTATGAATATACCATAACTTTTTTTTAAAACAATTTTCTTTTTCATATCGAGAAACAATTCGGACATTCCTACGTCACTTTTGTCCATAATTTTGTTTGATATTAATGGGGATTACGATCTACACTCTTACATTTAAGTCTAAGTCTTAAATTTTTATCATAATAACGTTCTATACCTTACTTTGCACAATTATACAACGTTGACACGAACTTGACAAAACCACGTTTTCTAACCAAGTAATATGCACAATGTTCTGGAAAAGTTACCTGTATGAAACACACTGACGTTTAAAAATATAAGAAAAAAAATTCTACTCACTATTCTTCAATTCCCACTTCAGACCTAGAATGTCTTCTCCAAATGTATTTCAGTTCTGATGGTTCCACGTTGTACAACATACGACGTTATTAAAAAAGCTGGCAATTGTCGGCTTTCGCTAGGAGCCCTATGAGAGAGGCATAAATAACCAAAATAAAAAAAAGTGTTTTCAAATTAGACAAAGATGCAGCATCAAGATGCCTGTAACTGCTTCCGTTGAAGCTAAGTGTTACCGCTTCCGAGAAAAGCTGCGAAATATTTTCTGGTTAGGTTGACGCCCCCGTGATTGGTTCTTTTCTGACAGAAAATTACAGTTAGCGTTTCAGTTCAAGATAAGACTCCGTGTCATCAAGATCGTTTTTGAAAAGAAGACAAGTTAGACTGTAGTCCTCGATAAAGTAATCAAGACCCGCGAACGTTGGTAAGCAATAACTTGTTTTGTGATTATGTTATCTAGCTTGTAGTCGTTATTCAAACCAAAATTTATCGCTCATTTTTACCTTTCTTTTGGTTCCTTTAATTGACACGTGCTCGTTTCCAAAATCGAGATTATTTTAAAGCTATGATCATAATACTTAGGTGATTTCTTTACGTAATAATTTCAGTTTACCGCTTCGATATAATAACGCCTCAAGGAATAGAAAAGGAATAAATAAAGAAAAGATCCTATTTTGGTTTGGTGTTTATCGCATGCGCGTGTATCAACCCGGGAATCGATCTAGCCACTCTAGCTTGAAAAGAAACATTTACAATGCCATCCCTTCATTTTGATTTTTTATAAACCTCAAGTTTCAACCATTCCTTATTCATATTCGACTAAAGTATTCTGCGCTCCATCTAGCCTGACACGTATTAACAAACCTCAGCGGCGAGCGATAAACATGAAACTAAATAAAAAGGTTCATTTTTGTGGACCTTAATCTTATTTTAACCATAAGCACCTAATTTTCTAGAAATTAAAAAAAAAATGGAATTTTTAGAACGAGCAAAAAATAAAACATGGAAAATTTGCCTCAATGCTAGCGAATGGGCAAATCTCATCGCGCTATCTGAGGTATTCTCCTAGTCATTTACCTCATGGCATTTCAGCTCTGTATGTTGTTCGATTCCTTCCTAATGTCTACCTTAAGTCATTGCTTGACTTAAATGATTTATTTCTTGAGTCTCTCTCTTTCTCTCTCATTTTTTCTCGAAAACCCAACTTGCATTAAAATATACAAAATCCAAAAATGTCAGTAGAGGGAAAGAAACTGTGATAACTAACTCGTTTAACGCTTTCCTTTTGATCTGGAAGAATAGAAACATGCTCAATCCTCCGTAAAATTAACTTCCTCGCAAACAAAAAACAACTCTTTTCCCTTTCAAAGGACGTAAGCTCCGCACATTAGTAGTTTTCGTTGCTCACCATTATTTCAACTTTCTCCCTCGCAAGAAGCTTAAGGTTCCCTTTTAGTGTAGGCAGATACTATTAAAAGTATGAGTTTGTTGCGCAGGTTGAAGTCTATGACCAAAAATGTCAGAAACACAACTGGTAAAAGAGAGAAACGTTTACTTTCACGGTTCTGGCCTAATTTCACAATGCCTCATGATCTTATGAGTTTTAAACCTAAGCCAGCTGAGTATATATCTTTTCATGTGTAAATTATTTATGATGAAACGGTTCCTTTTTTCAATTTCCTTTTTTGCATGGGTTAAGCAAATATTTAATAACTTATAAGTGTAGCTGTCTCCTCATTTAGACTGAAAAGAAACTTATTGGATTTTTGAAACTAGTAAATATTTTCTATTGTACTAGCACCAAATTCACTGATGTTCTTTCCACTTTTTCTGCAATACCTTCTGTACATTGGTGGGTTTTTTTAAGTTCGTTTTCCTCTGATTGTCAAATATCCCATTTTCTCGGTATCCAAAAAAATCTGTTAAATTGGAGAAATATAACCTTATATTTTCTTGGCTTACGTCACTTAATTACGTCAACAAAGTTTCACTTTTGTAAAATAAATGATAAGTAACTGATGCAAGGGGAAAAAACACCCATACGAATATTTAATTAACCCTAAAGTGACTATTATCGAATTTCCTCGTACAGTGTACTCTTGACCCAATCATCAATGTCATTAAGGAAATGATCATAGGCAAGAGAAGAAATTGATTGCTACACAAATTCTCCTTTTCGTAATCATAGCAAATGTATGGAGGACAGTTATTTTCATAGAAAATATAGGTACTGATTTTAGGGTTTGGAAACGCATCAAACTTAGCTACTTGGGGGAATTACCAACTCAGTCGGCGTACCGTCATATATCAAATGATGCTCAGCTAGCCAGGTCAGAAAGGACTAAGCCGCCTTGACTAACTTTTTGTTTCTTGATGTTTACACATTTAAACACTTGCAGCAGCCTAAATGTTGATCGCAAAAGTGTAAACTAGCGCTGATTCGAGGGGGTTGTATAGAGACGTGAACGAGGGAGAAGAAGAGGGGGGTGGGTTGGAAGAAGAAGCTTTCAAGGCTTGCCATCAAGATTTTCTCAGCTCTCCAGAGTTCAAACTGAATTCGATGCGAGACCATTGATTCCTACTTATGGGCCACGTATCGCCGCCTTTACTTCTAACTGCAATTTTGATCAGCTTCTGGCGGTTCTTGATTTTCCCTTTTCTTTCCTCGACTGAGCTATGAACATCGGCAACGCAGTCATCAATTGAAGTCAAAATATTGTTCACTGTGCGAACTTATTTCAAAATGTTATCGATCCCCTTTTTATTTGATCTCCGAGGCCTCCTTTTCGATTTTGGTGTTCCTCTCCATCTGTTTGCTTGTTGGGAAGACAAGGAGCCCTTGAAAAGGGAGAAGACTTGCTCTAAAAATTATGAATTTGACCAAGTTCTCTGCGAGGACGAGGAACTTAAGGCAACTAAACAGCCCTTTAGTGTGAAACGAAGAGAAGATTTTTCCTATGTATTCATATCCATCCCATAATGAAGAAAACGGCAGAATAAACAACAAGGGCTAAAGGAATTTATTAACTGATTGACTGATTAAATAGCTACTAAAAATAATTACAACCCTATTGCATGAAGTAGTATATACAGGCAGACCTAACCGCCTTATTTACCAAATAACAGTTGAAAATATTTATCGTGAGTCATACCTCCTTTAATATCTCCAGAGCGCACAATATAAAAGAATTCATTTCCAGCGACATGCTAAAATCTTCTAGAAGTAAGGCAACAAGGAAACAAAATAAAGAGGGATGTGGGGAGTGTCACGTTATCACCCGCATCCCCAATCACCCATCCCCCCTTTCATGTCTTACAGTTGAAGGGGACCTCAGTTCTCACGCAATGTAAAAGCTCCAAAGTATGTGACAAGAGCCCTACTCACTAATAAATTCCTTTAAGTTTACATAGCGTTCTCGAATCTTGGCATAGATGTGAAACATCAAATCAACAGTTTACCACTGAGTTCTTATTAAGTATTTATTATTCCCATAGCTCTCACAAAAGGTAGGCTAAACCAGAGCCAAATCGTTCTAAAGAGAATCTGCTCGACAAGCCCTTTTCAGCTAAATGCGGCTCAGCCTGCACTTTAAATTGATATTGTTCTGAAATTAAAGTTGAAATTGAAGTTGTAGCTATAACAGCATAGCAATGAATTGGTTAGCACTATAAAAGCAATGCAACTTTCTAGTGTTCGCTCAGAATGAAAATCAAACGATATTGCTAAGCTAGTTTACTTTCCGCAATTGTTATTCTTTTAAGGCTGTTTTTGCCAGTTCACTTGGTTCCCTAATTGCATTTCTTTTGTAAGTGATCCGGTTAACATAATTGCTTAATAATATACTAAGGAAGGGGTGTTCGTTTACAAAAAGTAAATTAATAATTCAAATGAATACGAATTTCTTTTAGTTTGCTTTAAATTTTCAAATTGTTTGCGCACCAGGCTGTTATTTTTAATTAATTGGTTAAATCATGCATAGCCGAAATTTCGGTTTTTAAATCTCAATGGCACCTTTTGTCAACATTAATCCTCTAGCTTGCCAATAAAAGGAGCTGACCCGTGAAAAATACTGAAAAATTCAAGAAACGAAATAGTTCTTAGTTTTGGTTGTAATTACCACTCGTATACATCACAGCTTTGGCAAAAACTTAAGGGCCAGTTGTAAATCACAACATAGTACATTTTACAATATAATTGTAAGGCCGGGAGTTCAATTTACTCCAGAATTTATCGTCTAACATAGCCTCTTGTTATAAGTGAATCATATTCTTTCCTAAGCCTGCTTTATATCCTCTAGATTGCCATTTTGTCCAGCGGAATTGTAAGAGGAGACGTCTGTGTTTACAGACGATAATTGTAGATTCAAACGCGAAACTGACCTCAGTCGCCTTAAACAAGCATGACAGTTCAGAATGTTCTTGAAAGCTTTGCGGAAATTTTCTAATCTCCACGCATACACGAAAGGATTTACCCCTGAATTGGCCATCACGAGAACAAACTGGATATCTCTGACCCAATGAATAAACACACAATCACAACTAGTACAAAAGTTTATGATATAGATACAAATACACGAAGGCAGATAAAAGGCTAAAAATAGAGTTAGCATGATAACCAACGTTTTGGTTATTTTAGCCTCCCACTTCACCGCTCGTTTCAAAGCCAAATTCTCCTCTGAGCTGTCATGCAGACTGTCCCATTGCCGTACTTGGCAACGCAGATACTTGAAAATCTTGGTAGTGGTGAATATCAAGACAGCGAAGGTGATAGCTATAGCAGTGTTGGCAAATACAAAGCGGAATTTGTTGTAGCCAATAATGAAGTAGACCATCGGAAGCAGAGCTGAGATAATCCATACCACCACGGATATCAATAAAGTTCTGATGGGGCTAAGTTTGGCTCTGTACTGCAGAGGATACGTAATAGCGCAATAACGATCTAGTACCAAGGCTATAAGGCTGAGAAGGGACGCTGTACATGAAATAAAATAAATAATGAGCACCACGTCTTCAAAACCTTGGCTAAGCGTACCGACCCCCTCAAAGATGTGATACATTGTACTCAAAGGGCCAAGTACGAGACCAACGACGAGGTCTGCTACACTAAGATTCACCAAAAAGTAGATAAACGGCGAACGCAGATCTTTGTTTGGGTTCAATAACACAGCAAGGACAACCAACGAGTTGCCAACGGAAGCAACAACGGTGATAAAAATCGATGTAGACGCAGTAGAGAACGAGAGATATGTTGGAGCCGATGTGTTGTCACAGGGATCCTTGCCAATCAATGACATTCTTTCTACTTCCTTACCTCAGGATTATAATTTGCTGAAAGCAATCTTCGCAGCGAAGATTCTTTTTCTTTTCAAGCTATTTACTACAAAAACGTTGTCAAATTTCAGTTTCACTGAGATAGAAACTGATCATCCTCGGAACGCATTTGCGCTAAACAGCGGTTTAACAAGACGGTACACTGATACTGCTTGTTTTCTTTGTCTCAAGCGTTTCATTTTCGTTGAAAGCGAAATCAAATAAATATGCAACAGTAATAAGATACATTGGAAAAGCCTCTTAAAGCTTAGAAAAAGTGTTTTATTTAATTAAAAGCCTTTCTACTTCTGATAACATCGAGAATTATGTTAAAGGTCAAACGTGACTGACTCGTCGATTAAGTGTTGTCTGGGTTTCTAGGATTTTCTTTTGGTTTTCAACGCCTAATTCACACTGTAGATTAGGTACAAAACGCATCTATGTCAAAGATTAAGCAAAACGCGACCCTGAGTACATATTTCTAGCCACAAATTTGCAATTTGTCAGACTTCCAAAAAAGACTTCGTTAGGGCACGCAAGCGTCCACTTTAGTCAGTAATCAAACAGATGTTTTCGATTATGCTCGATCGGTTTAAATTTGACATGACACCAAATTTTCCCGACTAAAGGTAACGTTCGGTGATTCGATTCTCCCCTGCCGGTATTTCCCTCGACGTTTCGTATGTTAGTCCCAATCAATTTTTAGAGCGAGTTTCGCCTGTGGATAAGTACCGGAAGATATTCAAAGTTGAAAGAAATATCGCCGACAGGTTATCGAATACATTGTATTGCCTTAAATTCCTAGTGGAGCCCCAAAGAAGCAAAGAAATGCAATCGATGATACATACGGCATTACGTAATTTCCGCGCATAAAGGTGTAAGGTAGGTGAATGTGTGTCTAGAAGATCGCATTGAGGCATTTACTCTGTTGCTTGGTCTTAATGTCAAAATTCTGTTGACATTTGACATTTTTTTGGTTTGTTTTCGGCAATAAGTATAAAAAAGATGCACGAAGGCAACAAATGATGACTAAGCGGAGATTTTGTTCAAATTTTTTCTCTGTGTTAACCTGAAGTTTTGTTGCCTTCTACTCATGACAATTGAATAATACTCATGTAACATCGCTTAGAACGTGTCTATATGTGTTTGCATTCCGTTCCCCAGTATGTGTAAACTAAACATGGATAACACTTATTCTAAAAAGATCAAGTTCGAAAAGAGATAAGTCTTAGTCTTAAAATTTTATCATGATAACGTCCTATGCCAAATTTTGAAATAAAAAGGAAATGAAAAGAAATGGCAATAATAGAAAAAGTATCAGGGGAAAAATTTTTCATTTCAAAGATGGTGACTTGTTTTTTTTCAATGGTTTCACGGAGATCCGATTTCTTTAAGATAAAAGAACAACATGTATGGCCAGAGAACAATGAATATCAGTAACTTTCACATGCTGACACACTGTGTTTTAGGGGATGGCGAATGCTCTGCGCAAAACCTTTTTCCAGAACTGAGTTTATTCATGTGAGCCCGCGTCTTCCTAATCTTTGAAAAATCCAAATTATTGATGAAGCACAAGAGAAGGCCTCCAGATTTTTAGCCAGAGAGGTTAGAAACAATTTGAAAGTGAACATGTGATGCGATATCAGAGAACCCAGTGAGCATAAAACTTCTAATGGTATATTCATGCTTAGATACTTTATTATTTTTTCCTCTGAAATTAGTAATTCAACATCATATGAAAAATATTTTCGATGCCATCTGCTGGTCACCATTTTCTGAAATACAATCAGACGCATAAGGCAAATAATTTTTTCCACTTCGCAAAGGAGTGTGTAGGAAAAAAAGCCAGCGGATGTTTTCACGGAAAAATCAACAGGGAAGATTAGGAGAAGCAGAGATTACACAGGAACATAACAAATAATGGAAGTACAATGTCTTTTTTTTTTTCTACCCAACCGGGACCTATTTGTGACGGGGTGATCAAAGTCTGAAATGGATGCGTACAACTGTCAGGTTCTCTTCTTGAGGCTGCACTCAACATTAGAATTCATATTCTCCATACTAATCTCTAAACAAGGGGTGGACAGTTAAGGAGAATTTGTTTAACAGTCAAAAGCTTCTTTGGTTGGTGATCATTTTATTTATTCTCTTAACTTAAGAATGTGTAAGGAGAAATTCTCTTAGCTTAAATCTGTAAGGAGAAATTAGATGCTAGTCACTCTTAGAGGTAGAGGATAAAACATTGCATTTTTATCAATCTGAAGATCAAGTTGGATATCATGCCTGATAAAGGATGGAGTACACCTGATATGTTTGTACCTCCTGGTTATCACCTAGGAGCATCTATTTCGGGTGTAACGAAGGATGATAAAGAAGTCGGAGATGTTCCCTATGCATATGCTCCAGCTTGGTGGTTTGGGATATGTGATGATGAATGGATGCTGGGGAAAGAATTACACAGCAAGTGTTGTTATAACGCAAAATGGACATCAAGTGTCTGCCAGGTGTGCAGTGGTCAGGCTTCTTCTTTTACCAGACGTCTTTAGCTCTTTTTTTGGGGTAATTTAGTATTAACTGATGATAAATTGGCCACCGTAAAGAGTTTAAAAGCTAACGTTTCGAACGTTAGCCCTTCGTCAATCGCTCCGACGAATGCTCGAAGCCCGGCTCAGCTTTTAAACTCTTTACGGAGGCCAATTTACGCTATTAACTCAGTTGATAATACTAAATTATCCTGTTATATATACTCTTCTACGGACGCAGCACCACAGTTTCTTTAGAAACTTACCCCCTTTGTTCATTTGTCTTCATTTTTTTCGGTCTCTCTTCTGAATGAGTTCTTGCATGCTATCTCACCATGGAAAGTAAGCTTGGTGAAAATTAATATTTGAGGAGCACCATTTCATGAGTAGCGTCGTTTTCCAGGTAGCTCGTATTCCTCATTCTGGGAAAAAGAACACTTAAAGACCCCTTCCTGTACAGTTTATTTAGTGAGAAATCTCAGTATTTTCACCCTTGATCACCAATGACAAATTTCTCGCATACTCTTCAGAGGCAAGTGATTAAACTTTCGACATATCACAGTCAGGCAAGAGGGCGTTTTGGGTGATATCTGACTTTATCCACGATTGCAAAGATACAATAACCGTTAATTTCCTTACTACCTTTCAACATTTGATGTTTCCTCATTTCTTGACCGTCAGAATATGATTGATGGGGCGGCTTTTCTTAGCGTTGGATATGATGGTCGTGGAGAGTACAGTCCGCAGTCAAGAAAAACGAGTATTGTGCAACGAAACTGCAAAAACAAGGCAACGTGAGTATTAACATGTACAGATAAGATTGTAAAATTTTAACCGCATGGTTACACAGTAGACGAAAGACAAAGAAATGAGTAAAGTAAAGTTGTCATTGATTCACAGGTTGTACCAATCGTTTTCTGATTTTAATACGTGGTCTATCTCACTGGCGTAGTATTGCCCTCTTTGATTCTGAAAAAGACAAATTTTTTTCAGTGGCCATATATATTTGGAAGCATCTAAGGAACTTCTGAGAACATTTTTCCGGCAGTTTCAGCAACAAGAGTCTAAAAGACGTCTTCAGGCCATGAAAACAAAGAGAGCTTCCGGTTTTTTTCGGAAATTCTGTCGAAAAATAATTTTGTCATGTTATATGTCAGTTATTGATTTAACATATTCAGCCAGTTTAGCTCGACATTGACCTTTTCCTTGCTGCGTTTTTATGGACCTCGACTTTGTCTGTTGAACTTGGCAAAAATCTTCCAGTCATGCCCTTAGGCTTGGTCAATAAAACATATATTGTTGTACTTGACTGGTTACCTTACGGCCGTTTCAGTTACGACGAGTACGATGTAACAGACACCAGGAACGTCCATGGAATTTACGATACCTCAGCCACAATGCAGACGTCCGAGAGCCGAAGAGAATTCCAAAAATATTTGCAGCAGGAAGCAGGTGTGTCAGAATCGTATTTTGGGTTTTATGCCGGCGCTAAGAAGGCTTGGGGCAGCTCCGAGTCGGGCGCTAAGCAGCAGTACATGTCTGTACTGGATGTCGATGTGGACAGGTGGGTACCGGAAATTTCACCAACAAATAATTCAAATGATATGTCCAGGGAGAAATTTTATTCATCCCTAGGCGAACAAAACATACCAACTGCCAATAAACAAAAATATTGCGTTTTATTTAAAACTGAAGCAAATTTCATTGCTATTGTCCATGGAAAGGTATGAAGTGTTCATGGACAAAGTTAAACCTCAAGATTTGAGCTTAACGTTTCTGCGAGAATTCATGAGCCTCCCCAAGTCATACTTCAATGCAGGAGCACCAATAAAGTACCGTAAGTTGAACAAACTATGCTTAATCGACATAAATTTTAATTTGCACTTGTTGTTTTCGTTGCTTTGTGATGTTGGTCCGCTTCCAGTGAAGTGAGTCTCGATTTTTTCCTTTTTGCTGAAAAAACAGAAAATTTTATCCAGAGATGGGAAACACACTATATCAAATCAGCTAAACTTGGAGGTCAACTGGAAATTCATAAGACGATGGATGCTAGTCAAGCGGGAAG